ATCATATATTATTATTTAATATTTTAAAATATAAAAATAATAATATAATTAATTTAATTATTTGATAATTATCTGATAACTATAATTTTATATACAGTTATATTAGATTAGTTATTTTATGAATTTATCATTATAATAGATTATTCTAATAATTTTGTTTAATTTTAAGTCATAACAAAATCCTTGATAAAAATTGGTTATAAAAAAAAGGTGAAAAATTTGTGAGAAGTGGTTGTAATATAAATTACTCTAAGAATACTCAAAAAAATCTTTAATCATGTGATTCAAATTATTTATTACTTATATCTAAAGATGATGTTACAACTAATAATAACTATATGATGCTTATTTGTTATTAGTTATAACTAGTTGCAACTTAATTTTTATTAATGTTACAATTAATTACAACTAAAGATGGTTATCGTAATTTAAAAAAAATAACGTAATTGAGTTGCAACTTGTGACGTAATTAAATTTCCTTATAATGCAATTAAGTTGCAACTCAATTGAAATTTAAAAATAATTATAAGGATCATTTTTAGTTACAATTTTGTAATACTTATTACTAGTTTTAACTAATTATAAGTAGATGTTATAATAAGTTAGTTATGATTTTATTATAATTTTAGTAATTTTTTTATGATTTTATCACAATCATGATTTTTAATAAAAATTTGTGATTTTTATGATATTTTAATTTGATTGGTTGATCACAATTAATTTTAATTAAGCGATTAATAAAATCTTTTTTTAAATTATAAAAATGGTTGTCCTATACATAGTTTATCACAAAGTGCAGAAAATTAAGAAAATTATATTGTATAAAGAAATAAATTGTATTATCAATTTTGTAATATGAGAATTAAACATAAAAAAAGACATTATAGATAAACATTTTCATATAGCAAAATATCTCAAAAATAAAATACTGATATTAGTTTACTAATATAAAGAACTTTACCATCATTTGCAAATATAATAAATAAAAAAGAAAAAGTGAATACAGATGTAATAGCTCTACAGATATTCCTTTAGAAAGATCAAAAAATTAAAGCCATTTTTATTAAAATATTGTAAAAATGATATAAACTTTATATTTTAATTTGACTTTATTTATTAATTTATTTTAATAATTTATTTATATTTATATTTTATAGAAGTTTAATTACTAGGGTAAATCAACTTTGTGAAAAATATTTTTATTATCATATGAAATAGAGTTTTAAAAATTAAAAATAATGAAATAATTGATTATTATGATCATTATACTGTTAATGTTTTAATAACCAAATTAAATTAACTAGAACAGATTTTTTATTGAATATTAATGCTTCAATATTTTTTAATTTGTTATAGATACAATTCATTTTTATAACATTTCATCAAAATATTATTTTTTTTTATATCTAATAATGCATTATATATAAAATTAGCATATTATATTTATCTTTTTTTTTTATTAAAAATAAAATATAATTGTTGCTTAATATATATTCTAAACTAAATTAAAAAAAACTTGGATTAATTTTCAAAAATGTAAATTAGTTGATAAATTAATTATAAATTTTAAAGTAATTTTTATTTATAATTCATAAAAAAAATTTGTTTAATAGAGCATTTAATATAAAATAATGTTGAATTTTTTACTTTAGCATTATTACCTGTAAAAACATATTGGAATTTATAATTTTCATTTTTATATTAGATTAAACTTAATAATTACATTTATTAATATAGAATATTTTATTAATCATAATTCAAAGCTATTTGATATCTTTAAACATTTTATGAATATCAAGATCAAATTTTATATGTTAAAATTTTTATATATTTTATTACATATAATTATAATAGGTAAGATTTAATTACAAATATTACAAATTTATTAATATTATTATACTAATTATTTTTTGAATTTATTAAGATTGATTAATAAATTAAAATTCTTAAAATACAAAACAAAACTATAGCTTTCTATGTTTATTCAAGAATCATAAATCTTCAAACTTTTCTTTTATTAGAAAGAAAATATTAATGAAATAGAATAAATTCTAAATGAAATAAATTATAATAAGAAAATATTTATTTTATTATTTTCTAGAGCTTTTGTATTAGCTTATGAGAAGTGTGAAAAACATATATCTAATTATCCTACTTTACTATTATTTAAAGTAATATAATATTTTGATCCAAAATTTATTTAATCTAATACAGCTTATGATAATATAGAAGATTATAAAATCATTGAAGAATTTTAATTTTCTACTGATATTTTAATATAAGAATAGGTTATTTATTATAGATTAAATGAGTCTATTAAAGAATTTAAAGATTTAGATAAATATTGACAAGGCAAATTGAATTTATTACCAGAACTTAATTTGTTAGCTTTGATATATATATAGTTACAAGTATCTGGAGTGAATATTGAATGTAGTTTTTTTTAGTTATAAGAGTATATTATTAGATAGAAGAGTGACGCTAAAAGAAAAAAATATTAAAATGCTTAATTTTTTTTACTTTAATCTAAATGGTAATATTGATATTAATTTACTAATTAGTGAATAATTAGATAAATTCATTTTGTAAATGTGAAAATTGTAATTTATAAATAGATGACTAAATAAAATAGATTTAAATAAAATTAGTTAGTATACTTTACAGTAATAATTTTAGTGAAATTATGTTAATTTTAGTCAGAATTATAATTGCAATTTTATGATAAAATCATAAAAATTATACAATTTTTAGACTATCATAATAACTAAGGTTGCTTATCTAAATTCATATGAATTTAGCAAAACTTCTAAACTATAATTTCACTAATTTTTTACTAAGATTTTGATATAGTTTCGCATTTTTATAAGCTTTAGTTTTACCTTTTCTAGATTTTTTAATAAGATTTAATATAATTTTGCTAAATTTTATCTTTTTTCATTTAGACAACTTGCAAGATCTTTAGATAAGTTTAATAATAACACATTCTGGGTACCTATTACAGTACCATTTTTACCTGTATTACATCTTTTGCATTTCTCATTTTCATAAGTATTCTGGGAACTTGAATTTTATAGTAGTGAAAATCATATTTGTTATATAAATAACCATTACATCCCTTAGATTTAGGGTTAGGTAGCATAGCAAATATCTCTATTTTATCACAATTTTGACTGATCATTTTATCACATAATACAAATGCTATTACATATCAATTCTTAATAATAATATATGCTTAAAATTGACAAATTAAACTTAGAAACCTTTTAATTTTAATAAAGAAATAAATATTTATTTGTATAAAGCATAAATTCTATTTATTATTTATAATTGAAAATAATGGGGGATATCAATAACCACCCCTTTGTATCACGTGAATTGTTTAATATTAAAATATTGGTCTGATACATATCACTTTCATTTTTACTATTTATTCAGAAAACTTATTTTTTTTGAGTGCGGAACCTTATTTTTCACGCATATTTGTCACAGTTAGAGTTAGGGTTAGGGTTTGTTAGGGTTAGTTAGGATTTGTTAGCATATTATAAGGGGAGGACACTGGTATCCCTCGGTATGAAATAAATATATTCTTTATTAAAAATGTTTTAATAGTAAATAATTGGTTAATTTCTCTATAAGCAAAAAACCTGTACTATGGGCCGAAACCTGGTCTTATTTTTTTATGTGTTTGTGCAAAGTTTCAGGTTTCGGCCTAGGGATGGGGACGGTTCGAAAAGAGCGACTCCGAGTCGGTTCTGGAACCGATTATAAATTCAGCATATTCTGGGTTTCCCTGAGTTACAAACCATTTTTAACCAATTTTAAAAATCGAACCGGAACCGACTCCGGACCGGTTCCAAGAGTCGGCTCAAAATCGGATTGTCATCAAATTAAAGGTAATAATAGGACGAATTTGTTTGATAACCAGTCAAAAAATTTTTTTAAATTGATCATCAAATGATGCTCTATTAGTATAAATTTAACTTAACGCTCAAAGTTTAATTTACTTAAGAAGAGTCGAAGTAGAACCGAAGAGGAACCGAAATGGAACCGATAGAACCGTCCCCATCCCTATTTCGGCCTTGTCAATTTCGGCCATCAATTTTTATCCGATGATCGGCCGAAATTTCGTTATGTAACAATAAAATGACTTATATTATTTAGGCAATTACTTTTATCACATACTTTTTTTAGAATTTTAATGATTATGTGATCGGCAAATGATCGGCAAAGTGATATAAAGCACGTCCGCTATGCTGGGTTAGGTCAGGGATTAGGGATTATACATAATGCGGACCAAATGTCACGTGATCGAAGATTTTTCTGGGTGCTCCTTGGGGTAGTTTTGTAATACATTAATTATTTGTAATCGACGGAAATGTATCGTTCTTTGACGGGTCTGAGTCAGGATTGTGTACAGTACTGCAGTACCACGATCAATTTGTGTGACTAAAAAAATTATAAGTGATGATTATTCAATACAGATTAATTTATTGATTAATTTATTTTACTATGACAAAAGATATATATACCCTATAGTCTCAAACACTCTTAAACACTCTCAAAACAAATTTAATAAAATTAAGCAAGAAAATGTTAAGACACGTAGCTCAAAAATACACACAACAATACGTCCCAATTAGATCCTTAGTTCAAAACACGAATGGTAATGATAAGTAAGAATATAATTTATATAATATTTAGCGGGACAACCGAGTGATATAAGATTTCAACAAGGGCCAATATTGAAGAAAAAAAATAATCCATTTGCCATTTATAAGCGTAGACCTTTACTAATTTTTTTATTAACCCAAAGGCACCGAAAGTTTACAATTCATTAAAGGCACCGAAGACAATCAACTTCTTAAACTTGGTGGATTGATGTTGACAGCTATTATTATGACCGGAGGAGGCGCGATTTGAATGCTCAGCATGATGAAAAAGGAGATCAAAGATGCGGTCAGCCTACTTGATAATGTTGAGTGATTACAATTACTTAATGATCATTCCCTAATATAAGTGCACAATTACTAATATTAAACGTCTCATTCAATCCAGATATTGAATAAGCTAAATGATCGATTGAACAAGATAGATGATCGATTGAATAAGCTAGATGATCGAACCCATACACTTGCTGTAGACATGGCTTATGTGAAGGCGCACCTTGGATTAACCGAACTGAAACAGGATTCTCCCGCTACTCCCGTTTCTCCCTCCCAAACCAAAGACCACATAATAGCCGAGTAAATTTGGATATAAAATTTATTCTTAATAATAAACCTAGTTTTAAAAATTAGTAAATCAATCACAAATAGTCTAGTTTTAAAATTTTCATTAATATCCTGTAATTTGCTATAGTACTGCATATTTCTCTCAATAATAAAACAAGAAATTATTTTGCAAATTTTATAATATAAACCCGATATGAGCAACTTTATTAATTTTGTTGAGCCATTTTTACCTTTTCTATCCAGAATATTGATAATTGGGACAGATCGTGTTAGTATAGATAGCTTAGGTAGACGAAAAACTGTTGGTCCGCAGGCATTAGTATATTTCACTTTGTAAATGTATGATTCATGGCTAACGAGAATCACTTGTATTCTGAATCAATAAAGCGACTCTGGTGGTCGATTCACATATATACATTCATATTTATTCATGTGGGTAGATGTGTATCGGAAAATAAAAATTTCTTGGAAAATTCGATCGTTACCATTGTAACGGTTTTTTAAAATCACATGATTTCCCTAATATTTCTACTTACTGCTTTTAATTGGTTAACCTTTTGAATTGTATTAAAGTTTATTTAAAACCAATCCTTAATATTAAATATATTATATTAAAAAAATTGGCTAAATCAACGTTTCACGCTTATTCTCCCTGTATATCAATTTGTTCTACCAATAAGATTCAAATATTAGAAATAAATTGCCTACTATAGAAACAATCAGTACTTAGCGTTTAATTAACTGAAACACGAGTCAATCAGAAAATTCGTGAATTGATTTGATGATAATCAATATTCCTAACCTAGGTTAGTTTTGTTTTATAAAAAGAATTTTCGATATAGTCGTAGATCAACTTATCAATGTTATTTTTATCTCATTTTTCTCGTTTGAATTGCGCCATCCATCGAAATTCCTTAAAACACAAAGAAACAATGATTAATTTAATATAAAGTAATTTTTCAATTGGTCTAGATTTCCAAATTTAAGCAAACTAAACAAAAGCAGTGTAATTTGTCCCTTTGGATTGTCTGCATTGTGATCATGTAATACTGCAACCTCGTTGGAAATAACACCTCTGTGTTTGTGTAAGTTAATCATAAATTGCTTGCATATTTAGGTCACTAATTTCTATTTCTCCTTTCCTTTCCAAAAAAATAAAAATTAAATAAAAAATTGAATATTTTCGACTGAACCCTTCTCAACAGTAACATATCCGTTGTACGGGTATATTTGAGGGTTCTCTTTGTAAACAATACATTCTTTTTCTCTCTTATTCTTCCTTAACCTCGCCATAATAGAAAATTTAAATTATTTAGAACCATTCATTAACTTCCGATTTTTTTTACAAATAAATCTATTTCCAATCTTCAAACGCCTCGGTTCCGGAATACGTCTTTTCCGGATAAAAAGACATAGAACAATCAAAAAAAAACATTTTTATTAGCACATATACCTTTAAATAACACAAGTACGGTCTAGATCTATATTACACCTACAGATTAGGCAACCAAGTTGCTATTTTGTTTGAATAGTTTGTATTAAACGTGGAGGTCTCTTTAGGAGCTTTTCTTAGAAACGTTCGAAATAGCAAGATGGCGATACTCAAGTTGTCGTTCTTTTCCAAACAGCCAGAATCAAAACCTTGGAGGTGAGGAAGACACCTTGACAATTTCTATTTCTTACATCGATCATGTGTAGTTTAACTAAAAAAGTGTAATTTTTATCAATAGTTATCTCGAAGAACATAATGAGAACATATCCGAATATTTGTACAAAAGAGAACTAGGAATTTCTAGATCAAGGTGGGAAACAAAAAAAGAATCCCTATCATATTATCATATTTATATAAAATGATTTGTGAAACAATCATCATGCTAATTTATATAATGTATATAGATATCCTAGGAATTACTCCAGTTATAAGTCCGATAAAATACCGCAGCTAATGAGAGAAAAAGAGATTAGTTTGGAAAATCATGATAAAATCTTTTCATCACATTGGATATCACATAATGAAGTCGTTGTAGGATCAAAATGTAATAAGGTATGAAAATTTGATGTTATCACACAAATCAGAAATTAAGAGAATCAAAAGTTAATATGATCCATTATATATTATATAATAGTTGTTGATCCTTAATGTTCAAACAAACAAAAGGTTCGAAATTCCATTAGTTAGCGAACAAAATAGGGAACCGCCACAAGAAATTCGAAACTGTTCGGGAATACGTAGTATCGCAGTGAACCCTTCAAGGACACTTTTAGCCGTAGGAGCAGGAAAACCTGTCCAAGTAACAGTTTATGAATTACCATCATTTGAACCTATTGCCGTATTTTCAGGTCATAGTGATCTTGTTTTTTCGGTCGCATGGCTTGATGATGATCACTTGGTTTCAGGTATGGATCATAACAATCATGATTCTGATTAAATTGTAATGTATATTAATTTCCTCTCAATTATTTCCTTTTCAGGATCACGTGATGGTACCATCCGGCTTTGGTCCATCGAATCGAAGATTATTTCTGAAATGCCTTTGTTACCAAATAAATATATCAATGTTCATCAACCTTTACTCACTCGATCGGAATTTAGCGGTAGGGTGCGAGATTTGCAATTCAATCCTAGAACTGAGGTATGTACATTCATTTCATATCCTTTTAGAAGGGGGATTTTAATAATAATATATATAAATATTCATATGTTTTTAAAAAAATTTAGCAAATCATGACTCTTTCAACTGAAGGATATGTGAGATTATGGGATGCGTCGTATCTCAATGAAGTAAGTATATATATGTGAATTCATTACGGTTCCATTTTAATAAATGACGTCAACTTACGATATTTTGTATTTTGTTGTCATGGTAGGTTACAAAAATTCAGTTGGCACATACCCATGAAAATGTGTGCCTATCAATGAATTCGAAAGCGAATTTATTTGCTATAGGATCTCAGGCGCATATAACAATTGTTGACCCCCGGACATCATCAATAGCCCATGAGGTTGGTTCGGTTGATGAAGGATGTGGTAAATACTTTTAACAAGAGAATAAATTTCTTTATCTTTATTATTATTAATCACATGTTTATAATTTTAAGGTGTAAGATCGTTATCTTTTAATGATCATATTATAACGACCGGTGGAGGTTATGGACGATTATCTTTTTATGATTTGCGCGCGCAACATTATTTGGATTTCCTTCCGCAATCTACCGCCAAAAAATCTTTAACACTTAATTACAAAGAAACCGGAAGCGGTTGGTTGGTAAGTAGAATAATAATAATAATGATAATGATAATAAAGTTTTCCCTTTTTAAAGAAAAAATTCAATAATCTTTATTTGATTTAATAGAATCGGGATACGGTTTATATGAATCACTTTGCCGGTTATTCCATACAAAATGCAATTTACGCGCTTTCATATGATGAATCAGGCACTAAATTGTTTACTGGAGGTGGTCCGTTACAACTTGATTTAAAAGGGTCTTATGCAGCAGTATGGTCATAATCTTCAAACTTTAAAATTCAGGGGTTTTGGGAATAGAGAGGAAAAGAAATATAATATAATATAATATATTAAAGTTAAATTTTATGAACATTTTATTTTATTTATTTATTAACAAATATAATTCGTTATTCTTTGTTGTTTCGACGTTTATTAGATAGATTAGATAGATTGATTGATACTTTTTGGATCACCCCAAAATTTTTGTAATATGAAATCATTTTTTTTAAAAGGTTCGTTTTTCTGTATAGTAGAGTATCTTTCTATATCATTTGTGTTACACGTTTTTATTAGAATTCTTTCACACCACTACATATATGAATCATCAATCATACATTTTTTTTTTTCTCTTTTTGAAATAAATGGAAATATTCTAAAAGATACATTTTGATACTCTAAACGTATGATCTTGTCCATCGAATTAAATTTTAAAATTTAGAATTATTTAATTACGATAGGTGTACTTATCCGGTTAGTTTGCTAAATCAAATTCCTGTAATAGGTTCCCTTAGAAATTAATATTAATACTTCTTGCAGGTAGAGCTTGTGATTTGTTATAACCACTGGCGAAATCTGATCATGAATCCGCGGATAGGTTAGCGTTGATGTTACCGATTTCATTTCAATCCCATTATTTTACAACTAACATCCCAGTAGATTACCTTGCCCAATGAAGGATCGGCAAACGGCCTTTGTACATCAGACAATCAAGCAGGTCATCTATTTCCCCAACACTCGCGAATAGCCTTGAATGAGCAGGTCTTTGTCACGCCAATAAGACTGTTGTAGAGCTCCTGCGAGAGTAGTTTTTTTGGTTTCGACGGTAGTAGTTTGGCAGAATTCAATAAAATGTGGCCTCTGCTTTTATATGGCATTGTGAGTTTCTGCAACAGCCTTACCCACCGACCTCACCCACCAACAAATAACTTATCTATCAAGTATCTTTCGACCCTTTGGCCCTTGTTCTTGGTCAGCAATGGTATTTGTCTATCTTTCTTTGATTTTTATTTCAATGCATGCTTCCAATAATCACTTCATTCACTTGACGCTATCAAATATTCGAGCAATAGTAGGATTTCCTTGGCGAGGTTTGATAAAAGAAGTCGTATATCTCGAATAAATGAAGACGTGATTTAGACGATTTTTAAGTCCCCGATGGATTATCAAATGATCATCCACGCGTCCTACGACAATGTTCCAGTAGAATGGCAAAAAAGGATTTTAGGTTTAAATTTAAAATAAATAAATCATTTAATTCAACATTGAATAAATTCATATATGTTTCATGAGCACAAATCGAGCAATATTAAATGAAAAATTACCAAAAACTAGTATCTTACAGTTGAACCTGACAATCGATCTTAGATCATTTGATTTGTTATAATAAATAAATATAAGAGTAGTACGAATCAAAAGAAAGTCTTAGTTTTCATTTTTAGTGTTTTTTTTTTTAATAGATTTATTGCTATAGGCTCAGAATTATCAGGTCTACTAAAACTATTAAGGGGTCTTCAAAATCTGGTAGTGGATTATGTTTAACATTAGTAACAGAAATGAATTAAAAATAATATTAGCAAATCAAGCAGGCCTAAGATAGGGATGCACTTACCAGATAATTTTTCTCAGCAGTCGATGAATATATTTTTTTCAGGAAATTCTAACGATATATATATGTTGGAGTGTGAATTTTCACAATTTTTTATTTGAATTTGCTGCTTCGCAAGCGATATGTGATCATATCATTTTTAAATATATTATCAGTTATAAAGAAAGGTTGTGCTTATTGGTTAAAAGCTCTATAGAATATTAAAAAGAACTGTTATTTGCAGTATTTTATAGAACTATCTCATGTTAGTGAATCATTGTAAAACATTCTGAATATTAAGAAGCGAAGTGGTTAAAAATTTACTCTAATTTTTTTTTTTTTTTTTTTGACAAGCTTTTTAATTTTTGATTTATTTTCGATCTTTTGGTTCCAAGTATTTCATTCAATGAAAAAAAAAATTTTGATGTTTGTTAGTCTTTACTTACTAAAAATTATATTAAGTCAAAATCAACGTATGAGCAGTTGCCAAATTTAGATGCATTTAACTTTTAACGTGATGTTTGAAAGTAAACTAGGGAACGGGGACCGTTGTTAAGTCCGGACATCTTGAGTCATACCGCTAACGCTCCGGACTAATAACAATATTTTCTTTATATGATTCGTTAATACTAATTTTTTTATAACTAGAACAAATTTTTATTTTTTTTTTTTTTAGACGCATATAGTGGAACTTGCGGAGCCTGTAGGAAAAGGATCTTCTTTTGTGAATTATATTTATGATGATCGGAAAAGGTACATTTCAGTAGGACTACGGCAGGTACATTAGGAAATTTTACCAATATTTTTTGGTCAAGTGGCTACGAAACAATATCTAATTTTTTTTTTTTTTTTTTTGATGATTTAACAATATATTGATTCAATGGTCAAGAGAATTATTTTGCGAATTTGTGAATATAGCTTTCGGGTAAGTAATTTTTTATTAACGATTTATTTTTCTATTTAAAATTTTAATCTAGCCCACAAAGTAAATTCATATCACGCTTGTTCTTTGGGTTGGGTTTATTGGGTTCCTGGGTTTGTTGGGTTCCTGAGTTAGTTGGGTTCCCGGATTCGTTAGGTTCCTAGAGGGTTCTTTGGTTCTTCAAACTCCGTTTTTCTTTTTTTTGTTTTTTTAGGTCTTTTTCTTGGTTTAAACTTTTTAAAATTTGACGGTTTTTAGAATAAATTAATAAATTTTTCGTTAAAAAAGAAATATTTTAAACACTTTATTGTAAACTTACATTGGACTCATTTGAGAAAAATTCTTCGATGCTTTGTCCGTTAAATAACACGATTTGCACATTTTTGCTGCGCATCATGAAATAAGTTTTTAATGTCAGAAAGACGATATTCATTTATCCTAGAGGATATGATTAATAAATAAAAAGCTGCTTAAAAGAGCTTTTTTGAATGTAAAAGATGATTTTGAAGAGTTGTTTTTGAAAGAATTAAAAGACGACACGAAGCAGGCCAGTTAAAGTATTTAGAGTTAGAAAATAAGCAGAAAATAGAGGAATATAGCGACAGGGAGAACAAGACCAAGAAAAGGGGAAGCAAAAACAGACTGGCAGACCTATATTTTTATGTACTGTATTTATACGACTTAACTAAGTCCATGAAGTATATATTCCCTATCTTATGCTCAAGTCATAGGACATCACTACATGATCATGATATACAAAACGCGTATAGAGATGGGTGGGTAAAAGTACAAATACGGATGCAAATTATTTGATGCGTAATCGATCGACAGAATTTGTAATCCTATAGAATAAATTGGAACAAATTAGAAATTTTAGCAAAAATTGGGGGAAACGGGAACTCCAGAACGATCTTAACTAAAAAAAATTCTGCTTTATCTAGGATCCTACACTTCGTTCCGGACTAATTAAAAATCTATATTACCTAGTTTTTTTAATTTTCGTTTATTTTTATTTCCCTCAAAGAAAAAATATATTAAAGTTTTCATTATTTTAATTATGTAATGAAATAAATAAATAATTGAACAGATCAATAAATCAATAAAATGGATGGTTGCAATCTTTCAATGTATTTAATCGAGTAATATAAAATATCCATTTCTTTATTGTAAAGCTAAACATGATTTAAGTGACCATATTTAGAAGACTATTTGAGTTTTTTTTTTTCAGTTCTTTCGGGAACGAGACTTTCAGAAAATGTGGGTGATCTCATACCAAATCTCTTTAGAAATGAACGTGAATACATATATTTTTACGGTAGCGAAACGTGCGCTTTGATCCTATTTTTATTTTATATGTATTATGTATAAATACTGTATAAACTATCAGTTTAAATATGGGGGCTAAGCTATTAAAATCACCTTACGGGACCCACCAACTAAAATTGAGATTTTTGATTCATATTATTATA